CACGCCCACACACACGCCCACACACACGCCCACACACACGCCTACACACGCCCACACACACACACACACCCACACACGCCCACACACGCCCACACACGCGCCCGCACACGCACACGCACACTTCCACGCACACGCCCACGCACACGCCCACGCACACGCACACGCACGCACACGCACACGCACACGCACACGCACACGCACACGCACCCGCACCCGCACACCCGCACGCGCAGGCGCACGCGCACGCGCGTCGCCCGCACACGCGCACGCGCACGCGCACGCGCACGCGCACGCGCACGCGCACGCGCACGCGCACGCGCACGCGCACGCGCATACATTTACACACGCACACTTTTACACACTTTTACACACACTTTTACACACACTTTTACACACACTTTTACACACTTTTACACACACTTTTACACAAACTTTTACACACACTTTTACACACACTTTTACACACACTTTTACACACACTTTTACACACACTTTTACACACACTTTTACACACACTTTTACACACACTTTTACACGCATTTACACACACATGTACACACACGCATTTACACACACTTGTACACACACTTTTACACACTTTTACACACACTTTTTTACACACACTTTTACTCACACTTTTACACACACACTTTTACACACACTTTTACACACACACTTTTACACACACTTTTACACACACTTTTACACACACTTTTACACACACTTTTACACGCATTTACACACACATGTACACACACGCATTTACACACACTTGTACACACACTTTTACACACTTTTACACACACTTTTTTACACACACTTTTACTCACACTTTTACACACACACTTTTACACACACTTTTACACACACACTTTTACACACACTTTTACACACACTTTTACACACACTTTTACACACACTTTTACACGCATTTACACACACATGTACACACACGCATTTACACACACTTGTACACACACTGTTACACACTTTTACACACACTTTTTTACACACACTTTTACTCACACTTTTACACACACACTTTTACACACACACTTTTACACACACTTTTACACACACTTTTACACACACTTTTACACACACTTTTACACACCCACACACACACTTTCACACACACTTTTACACACACTTTTACTTCTGTGCACGCACACGCACACGCTGCCCACGCGCGCTGCCCACGCGCACGCGCACGCGCACGCACGCGCACGCGCACGCGCACGCGCACGCGCACGCGCACGCGCACGCGCACGCGCACGCGCACGCGCACGCGCACGCAACGCACACACACACACACACACGCACACGCACACGCACACGCACACGCACACGCGCACCCACACACACACACATATATATATATATATGTAGACAGGGTTCCACTTTTTGGCTACCCAAAGACAGACTTAAACACAGGGGTTCTCCTGTTGGGGGGCATGCACCACTGGGTTTAAGCCTGGGGTAGTCAAAAAGTAGAACCCGGTATGTGGACTTTTTTATATGTATATATATATACACATATTATATTATATTATATTAAATTATATTATATATATATATATATTATTACATGTATACATATATATATATATGTAGATATTTATACATCTACATATTTTTTCACCAACACGACACATGGCTGGGCCCCGAGGTCCAGCGCCAGCTACATGACGGCGTTCTTGCGCTGGAGCGAGCTCAGGCGGGAGTGGCGTGAGCGCTCAGTGCGTGAGGATGCCAAAGGGATTTGTTTTGATTGGGGTTGGTACCCCCCTTTTTTTGTGGGGGGGGAAGCCAAAGCAAGACCGAAGCCATTTTTCGGGGGGAAAAAAGTCTCGCCCATGTGGGTCGCTCTTTGGGGGGCCTGTTCGCTGCAAGCAATCGGCATCTTGCCTTGTGGGAGACGTGCTTCCAAAGGGTTGAGGTGCTTGAAAGACAGACGGTGTTTTTGGGTTTGCTCTACAGGCACCACGGGCTCTTTTTGCCAAACCAATTGTCATTGAGATTGTGGAATGGATCCAGTGGGGAGTTTAGGCCTGGTGCGATGAGGGCCATTTTGCATTCACGGCCTGGCAGGGAAGACGTGAAGGCTCATCACACGGTAAAGCAAGCGCAACTTGGTCATGCAACTGCGTGGATCGAGAGGTTGTTGCAGGGAGTGCAGGAAGCGGCGCGGGCGCACGTGAAGCCGCCAGTTCGTTTTTCCAAGGAATGCGCAGCTCAATCTCAACAAAGGCCAAGTGCATCACATATCAACTGACATATCGTTTGACTCTGAATTTGTGCGCACACATACACACCAGCTGTCACCATGGAACCCCTGGCCTGACTTGTCGCTCCGGCCAGTCGCGAACCATGCCCTTTTCGGACACAAGCGCGTCCTTGTGAAGGACCGTGGCCCTGAGCATGCCACAGTGTGCAGCCGGTGCATCCCGCATGCTTGCTCAGGATCCACCGCAGCCGCAGGCAGCAAGATATGGCAGCCAAATGGCATCCTTTTCGGGACATGTGAGATGAAATGTAAGTACACATACACCCGCACACACACACACATATATATATATATACACGCAGAGAGAGCAGGAGAGAGGGAGGGAGGGAGAGAGAGAGAGAGAGCGAGAGAGAGAGAGAGAGAGAGAGAGAGAGAGAGAGAGAGAGAGAGAGAGAGAGCGAGAGAGAGAACCGCCGGCAGGCCCCTCCGCGTAAAAGCCAGCGACCTTCAGTTTTTGCAGGACTCTGAGCATTTGGAACGCCGCAGGCTGATCTCTTTTGGACGAAATCTGAGCGAGGTTGGGGTTGCCTTTGAGCGTGTCAAAGTGCTAAAGTCTCATAGGCCCTGGTTTCTACCAGTTTCGCCGTAGAATCATCACCCTTTACTGCTTGTACATCGGAGAATACGTCCCGGTTCGTGTCCAAATGGGTAACCATCAATCCAGCAATCTTCCACATTGAGGCTTGCCAATTAATGCAACATCATTTAGGGCATTGTCTTTTCGTTGCCTTGCTGAGTCAGCACCCTCTGGATGCAACGACAGATAGAGGGAGAGAGAGAGGGGGTGCGGGGCTGTAAGCTGAGGGTAAACGGGAAGGCTGATCCATTGTTTAAGGCAGAGGAAGACATTGCCAACACTGACGCAATCTACAGATCCAAAACTCCAATGGTTTGCGTATCACCTGGGCTTCATTTGGGATCCGCTTGGTCTCCACGCGAGCCAAGATCCCGGCGCAAAGGGCGCCTGGCGCCCCGGTCGACCGCCGAACCTCGCTGCGCCGGGCTTCTGCCAGGGACTTAGTGCCGAGGTGCTCACATGTTTTCATTTTTTCCTTCTGTTTTAGAGGCAGCCCCTTGATTGGTGGTCTGGAGCCCGGTGGTTTGGATTTGGCATTGAACGGTTCCCCAGTTCTTGTAGACATGGCTATGAACCCAAACGCGGCCACGGTGACATCTTCTGAACTGCGTGTCGTAATTTTGAGGGCCCCATGAGCCCCTTGAAGCGTGACTTGTCTTTCTGGTGGTCTCCGGGCTCTGGCGCCACAATTGTTTTCTCGCTCGCTCGCTCGCTCGCCGAGGCGGCAAGCATGCTGAGCCAGCTGGCAGAGGGGACGGGGGAGGAGCTGCTAGAAGAGCTGGAAGGGGACCTCTTTGTGCCGAGCTGCCACGGATTGATCTGGGGTGGTTGATCCCGGCGGGTGTTCCCAAAACTCCCCGGAAGTCCGTGTTTCCGTGCCCGTTGAAAAAACCAGGTGGAAAGCGATTGCCCGAAACGGCACAGGTTCGACGAGTGGATGGGGAAGCATGTGGCGCCCACACGCCAGGAGTTCGGGCTCTCAGTTCTTCACATTTGGTTAAGGGTCAAAATTAACCACCAGACAGCAGATTTTGAGTCCATGTTCATATGGGTCAGCCCATTTTGGATACCCTTGCTCCCACTAACCGAAGGCACTGGGGAGGTAATGTCCAATGTGGATTAGTAAACGGGACCCCCCCCCGCCTCAACAATGGGGGATGGGGAATAGTATCTTGAGGTGGGTTTCCGTTAGATGTAGTAATGGTAGACTTAAGTTTCCATTTGATTTAGTATTGCTGGAGCTTCCTTTTGAGATTTGGAACTTTAGTATTGCTGGAGCTTCCTTTTGAGATTTGGAACTTTAGTATTGCTGGAGCTTCCTTTTGAGATTTGGCACTGAGTTTCCATTTGATTTAGTATTGGTAGACTTGAGTTTCCATTTGATTTAGTATTGCTGGAGCTTCCTTTTCAGATTTGGAACTGAGTTTGCATTTGATTTAGTATTGCTGGAGCTTCCTTTTCAGATTTGGAACTGAGTTTGCATTTGACTTTATTGTAAGGGCCCCTGTAAAAAGTCTTGGGCTCAAAATTTGGGGGCTTGAAGTACTTACCCCCTTTGTGGGTTTGATGGTGGGCAGTTTTTAAACAAGAGACATGTAAGAAAACTTGGGTTTGGGCAAGGTCTGCAGTTTGGATTTTGGAGAGAAAGCAACAAGCTTCACCAGCATCAGCATCAGCATCAGCTGGGATTGTGTGTGAAGTTGGCTAGGTTGTTAGCCAAGAGGTAACTGCATTTAGGAAGTTGCATTTTTCAGGGGGGGGGGGGCATGCAGCAAGACTTTATTATAGGGCCCCCTGGAAGAAAGTCTTGGGCTTAAAATTTGGGGGCTTGAAGTACTACCTACCCCCTTTGTGGGTTTGATGGTGGGCAGTTTTCAAACAAGAGACATGTAAGAAAACTTGGGTTTGGGCAAGGTCTGCAGTTTGGTTTGTTTGGGAGAACGCACGAAGCTTCACCAGCATCACCTGGGATTGAAGTTGGCTAGGTAGTTAGCCAAGAGGTAACTGCATTTAGGAAGTTGCATGTTTCAGGGGGGACCACGCATCAAGACTTTATCATAGGGGCCCCTGGAATAAAGTCTTGGGCTTAAAATTTGGGGGCTTGAGGTACTACCCCCTTTGTGGGTTTGATGATGGGGAGAAAGCAACAAGCTTCACCATCAGCATCAGCATCAGCTGGGATTGTGTGTGAAGTTGGCTAGGTTGTTAGCCAAGAGGTAACTGCATTTAGGAAGTTGCATTTTCCAGGGGGACCACGCATCAAGACTTTACTATAGGGGCCCCTGGAATAAAGTCTTGGGCTTAAAATTTGGGGGCTTGAAGTACTACCCCCTTTGCTTTGGTGGTTGAGGAAAGAAGCAGGTGCCGCGAGCAAGGTGCCAAAGATCCAAGGACCAGGGGTGGCTATCTCTCCTCTCCTTCCTGTCCTTTCTCTCTTTCTCTCTTCTTTTTTGTGACTTTTTTTTTTTTAATGCTTTTTTTGGGACATGTTTTTTTCATCGGCGGGGGGGTGGGGGTGTCTTTATTTCAGGTGCATTTACTAATTCTTTTGGGCCCCCCTATAGCGCGTGCATTTTTTAATCCCATTTGGACATTACCTGGAAGATGAATCTTCTCTTGGAGGCTAATTTGTTTTGGTTCTGTCGATTTTTTTTGGGGGGGCTGAGATGCCAAGGGTTGGACAGGTTGGCTTCGGATGAAAGCCTCCGTGCCCTTCAGGGTGAAGCGAGACCTAAGGACTAGACTGAGTCGAGGCTTAGAAGTCGTGGTTTCATCAATGTGGCTTCATATTGGTGGCATGGTGGCACGAATTGCGAGAGAGAATCGTAGAGAATCTCTGGGGATGTTTGTCTGCTTGCAGGTTTTGTTTGTTTGCTTGGCAGAAAGCTTGGACCCTTTTTGCAGGTCTGAAAACTGGGTACGTCGCATGGCCCAGATCAGCCGCAACACGCAGCCATCCAAAGCTGCTTGCAGCATGGTCAAAACTCCCCAAACTGCTCGCAACAGCCCCAGCATCTCGCAGCCACATCTGGCACCACAAGGTTCTTTTTTTTTTTGGGGGGGGAAGGGTATAGTACACTCTCTTCCAGAATTATAGAACTACCACACGCTTTTTTTGGTTGGTTCTAGGTTAGTAGATGCGGAATATCTGTTGCCCAAAGCCGACCTTTTGACCTTTTGGTTTCTCCTTCTTGGTCTAGTTTTAGTCATGGCCCCAAAAGGTGATCACCTTTTATTTCTGGGTCCTTTGGGCAAGTGAGTAAGGGAAGCCAACCGGAAGCCCCAAAAAGCGCCCCGAGGTCCAAGAGCCATCCGCGTGGCTTGGGGGTGGACCTCTCCCCGCCGCAGCGCCCAGCTCTCAGCGCGAGCGAGGCAGCCTCTTCTTTTTTGCCTGCGGGGAATGAGAATCCCCCGGAAAGGCCACCCTTTCAGTTTAAGGGAAACCCGACCTGTTCGTTCCCAAAAGTCGGAAGGATATGTTGGGTCTTTCTGGCCGGCTTTCGCCACCAAGGTTTGGACATGAGTCTCCTGGGCCTAGCCTAGGTTGGCGTAGCCCAGGTTAGATACTTATGCCGCTTTGCCCGCGCCTGCGAAGCAGGGGCAGGCTGGCGCCGGGGCGTTTTTGGTCGCCCGATTCCAGCGCGGCTTGCGCTGAGAGCTGCGAGCGTCCCGTAGGGAGCAGCTCTTTTTCGCCCGCGGCCAGCGAGCGGGCTGGGAGCGGGGCATTTAAAGACAACAGAAGGGGCAAGCGAGTGCCTGCGCAGGCGCGTACAAATGGGCGTGGCTCAAATTTCAGAGCTAGGGTTACGCAGGTGTTGGTCTTTGTTTCCATTTACCTCCACTTACCCAGGGGCCAAACAAATTGGGTACATCTTATTTTTTGAGCCACAGCCAAATAGCACCATGTTTTTTGTTTGGCGCCAGGTGAGCTTTGTGGGTGACTGGCTGCGGCTTTTGGTGCAACACAACTGGAGGTGTGTGTGTTGAGAGATGCTGGGCAGTATTAGACGGTGCGGCTGTCGGGGTCCAAGCTTTTACCGCCTTTCTTTGGCGTGCCATGCCCATGCCAAGCACATGAAACACCACGCCAGCCTGAGACTGTCACTCCATAGCTGGTTCAGACACTGATCAGCCAGACAGCAAGCTCCGGATGACTTCAGCTATGACCGGTTTGTGCTGTGCAGTTGAGCCATGTCGTCGGTGCCGCTTGGTTTTATTTGGCAGCGAGCCACCTGCATGTGGTGGGCATTGGGTTGTTGGCATTGGCTCTCTAGTTGGTCCCTTGATGGGGAAGTATCTCACCTCGTATCGGTATCGCCTGCCCACTCGTGAGGATCGACTTTGTCTCTGAGAGCCTGAAGAGGAACCCACTGCCGCGGAGCGCCCCGTTCCGGGAAGAGCTTCCCAGCGGTTGGAAACGCGTGGAGTCCCGCACCAAGCCGGGCAACTCGGCGTAAGCAAGGGGATTTCTGGCGCACCCGCCAGCAGTTTGCCCACAAACCATGTGAGTTGCTGCATGCCGAGTCGAGGCACCTTTTACTACGCTCATCCAGCAACGAATCGCACACAGGCTGGTGTCGGGCTGGGGATACGTCCCCGTTTTTGCAGAACCCCTTTTGAGGTGCAGCCGCCCACAGGCACCAAGCAGCTGGACGCTGAGGTTCGTGCGTCCGGCGAATCGGCGGTTGGTTCGTCCCGTTGAGCTCTTTCCTCTTGATCTCCCGTTCCTGTGATTCGGAACTGCTTGCCCGGGGGGGGGGGAGATGAGGATGGGATGAAGCGGCAGGCACCCGCGCAGGAGGCCAAGATGGCGCAAGTGGAGCCGGACAAGGCCGGACCCGAGCAAGAGTTGGGTTGGCTTGCGGTGGCTGTGAGCCTCCGAGTCCCGCGGCAACTTTCGCAGCGAGGACACGGAGAGGAAGCGGAAGTTCAAGCAGGTGGAGGAGGAGGCCGAAGCGGAGCAGGACGCGCTTCCGCTGGCTTGCGATTTTTTCCGTCAGAAGCGGGCTGCGAAAGAGACATGTGCACTGGACACACAGGAGAGACGTAGATCTGCCCGTAGGCTCAAACCCGTAAGCAAACAAGGCACGGAAGCTTGCCATTCAATGCCTTGATCCTAAAAAACCTTACCAGCACGTCGGTCAGCCGATGCAAGGGTGCAACCCCGTGTTCCAGTGCAGAGCTTGAGATGCTTTGCCATGGCTTCATTGTAAGGGAATGTCCCAAAGCCGCATTTGTGCAGATTGGCATCAACTGGCTTTGGAGGGCCAATTTGTTTTGGTCTTGCCTTCTCGATGCTTCATTACTTGACAGAGACCTTATAACCAACCTTAAACCGCCCTATGCCCACCTAAAACACCTACACCCCCCCTAAAACAAACCCTATACCAAAGCACCACCCGAGCCAAGGGAACCCAGCCGACGCCGAAGCCCGAGCAGCCCGAGCAGCCCGTTGGTGATGCGGGAGTTGAGGGGAGGCTGACAGTGCAAAGCGAGTGCATGTTGTTGAAGCCGTAACATGCGGCATGGTAGCACCAGAAGTGAAATTCAAACAGACTCCTGAAATACAGCAAATCCTCCCTGAAATACAGCAAATCCTGAGTGAACACTCTGGACCTGATAGTTCTTCGCGCGCGGACGTGCAACCATGTTGGCCCAGAACAAACACCCGAGGGGTGCCAGGAGATGGTAGAAGAAGAGCTCAAGCGCATCAAAGCCGCCAAGAAGGCCTGACGCCAGGCTGTGTAACCCTTTGAGCACACCCTCTCGTTGATCATGACCTGTTTATCTAAACCCCTGGTGGGCTTTGCTAGAGCTTTTGCCTTTGAATCTGTGCGGGCCCATTGTGGAAATGACGGCGTGCCTTGTTCAGATCACGTTGAGGGTCTGCAATTGCCCCGGCAATGACATCTTCCGTGAGAGTACTTAGCCTACTGCCAGCCAACATGCTCCTCGCCAACCTGCGTGTTGCATCTGCAGGTTCCAGGGCGACGCCGATTTCGTTTCCCTTCTTCGAACATTGGCTTTGTCCACCTTCGAGGAAGCCGTATTCAATTGGTGGATGAGTGCCACTTCAGCAAGAAAGACTCCGTTTGAGCTCCAGAAGCATACATAGGACTTCCGGATGTATTTACTTGAGTGTTGTAGCTGTCTTGGACCCAGAGACATTGCAGCGAAGGGTGATTCACCATGGAGGGGAAAGTGCCTACTTTTCTATTCTGCTTTTTTCCGCAACGCCCCTTAATTTCCCCTGGGCCCAATTCCCGCATCCTCACTCTGGTTGCGATGGTGTCCACCAGCCATGCCATCCATTCACCGAACGGGCCTTGGGCGATTCTGCCGGGCGGTCCGAAGCGCAACAGCCCAAGAGAAGAGTTCAAAAGCCCAAGGGGTTGAAAGGCCGAGAAAAATCCAGCCTCCGCACCAGGCCGATCTTCACTGGCACTCTAAATAAAATTTGGGTTCTCGAGTTCTCGAGTCGACCCCTCGACCCGGGAAGCCGCGCTCGAAGCAGCGGGGGGAATTTTTTCTTCTCTGCCAGGCCAAGGAGCTGGAGGCGAAGAAGCGCGCGGAGGAGCAGGCGCGCCGGGAGAAGGAGCGGCGCCTCGGACCCGGAAAAATTCTCGCGGCGATCGATTCAAACGGCCGGGTGACAATTCCGCTCGTGTTTTCGTGTTTTTTCTTCGCCCTTCTGGGACTTTTTTCCGCGCTCCGTTTTTTCTCCCCTTCTCCTTTTCTTGTCTTTTTCAGTTCTTTGGAGTGGGCGTAGTTCATAATATTGTCCAGAGCGGTTTGGCAGTAGGTATCCAAGGGGTACCGTGGGTGGACGAAATTCGGCACTTGGGAGAGATGAAGCCCTACAGTGGGATAAAGCACCTACCAACTGGGGCAAAGTAGCTTTTGTCCATCATTCTCAGCGAAGCGGATTGGACGAGGGCTGCTGGGTGGGAACCCTCGGCTCTCTCAAGTTCAGCTTCGCGAATTCAAACTTGGCGCGGACACCAAAACGGCAACGGTGTCTCCATTTAATTCACTCCAACAAAAACGACACCCAGCGCGTCAGGGGGGGGGGGGCGGGGTGTGACCCAGGAAGGAGCGGGAGGCGCAGCTCGAGAAGGAGCGGCTGCAGCGGGAGGCGGAGGAGCGCAAGCGGCAGCGCTTCGGACGCAAGCTGCGAGCTCCGAGGAGTGGGAGTTGGTAAATCGGGGGGGGGGGGGGGTTTTGGGCCATGGCCCTTTTCGGAGCCTCCAAAAGGAGTCGTTTTAGTGGAGACCGCCGTTTTTTTTTGCAGCTGGACAAATTGCCGGGCAGATTTGAAGGGGCCGGGACGGTCCCAGAAATGGCAGTTCCATGACTCGTGGTCTTCCTGATTCCGCATGGTGAGTCCAGAGGTGCGATGGGCCAGAGGTGGGTTGTGCAAAGGGTGCTGAAACGAATGGCTGGTCAAAACCAATGGGATCTCATTTTGGTTGGTAGGTTCACCACCCATTTTAGAACCTGTTTTAGTGAGGGTTGGGATGTTCGCTGCAGCTACGATTTGGATTTTGACCCATGCTCTGTTGCCCAAAGCCGACCTTTTGACCTTTTGGTTTCTCCTTTCTAGTTTTAGTCATGGCCCCAAAAGGTGATCACCTTTCATTTCTGGGTCCTTTGGGCAAGCGAGCATGGCAAAATCGCAGCTTGCTTGGGTTCTTAGGCAAGAGCTGGAAGCGCTGGCCGAGGAGAAGCGCAGGAAGGAGGCGGAGGCCCGCCACAAGGAGCTGGGTGGGCCAGTGGGGGGGGGGCTGGCGTGGTCAGACGGTCATGTGTCGTAGTGGGGGGCAGTTGCCACCACTTTGCATTTGGGATATGGGGATTGATCAATATTCCTGGCACCCACATGATCATGGGTAACTGTTCCTGTTTAGTGGGACATATCATTTTTTTAGTGGTTTTCCTCAATGGTCATCTTATTTGAAAGACCTTTTTATCAACCCCCCCATGTCCCTCATATATCAGGCACGTGGGCTGGCGATTCTCAGGGCGCAACGAGGTCGCAAATGAGAAGCCATCGCCGCTGTTTTTGTTGTGAAGCCAGGAGCACGAAGCTCAAAGGCGGAAGGCTGGGCGTTTGGCGATGGTGTTCAGGGCCCAGGAGCCAAAAGGAAGATTGCTTGTCTTGTTCCTCAGAGTTGCAAGTGGACACTCCTTTGAAGGCATGGGACGGATCCCAATTCGAAGTCCGGACGTGGGGCCGCAGGCCATGGTCTTCGAGCAGCACTCCATCCTGCAGCGCAAGCTGGCGGAGGATGCGCGGAAGAAGCAGGCTGAGGAGGAGGAGGAGAAGCGCAAGAGGGCGGCGGAGGAGAAGGAGCAGCAGAAGACGCAGAAGACCCAGCCCAAGGATCCCAAGGATTCCAAGGATCCGAAGGCCGAATCATGTTGTTTCAGGTCAGCAGGTGCGCCGGCTGCCCTGCTTGAACCGTGCAGGATCAGAAGAAGACGGAAGAAGATGAGGCAGCGCGGAAGGCGAGAGCAGAGAAGCTAGATGCCAAGGCACGTTTTTTTTTTTTTTTGGTGGGTCCCGGCGACAGAGGGAAGGGTGGGAGCTTTCGGGAATTCGCATTGCTGAGCCAAACGGGAAGCGGCGCTTTGTGACTTGCCCGCCCGGCCCCGGCCAGATCTGGAAGCAGCGAATTCCAGATCCAAGCGAGCCCATCACCACCGCCTGCTTCGAAGTCTACAAGATGGGCAAGCACCAGCGAACCCATCTCTTCAGCGGAGACAAATCCAGCTGGATCATAGGCTAGGTGAAGCTGACGCCTGTAAAAAAAAGCTCAGCCAGGGCCTAGTGTTGGCATGTTTCTTCCGGCTTGTACACTGCGGGTTTTCTGGCTTCCAGCAAGCTTGTGCGGGTGGTGAGCTAGTCTAGTTCTAAGGGTGGAAGTACATAACCCCTTGTTCATTCGCCCAAGGGCTATGTAAAGGGGGTATGTACAATCACCCCTGGACTGGTGAGCGGTGTTTTTTTTGATGTTCCGCACTGTGCTTCCGCGATCTTTCGCTGGCAGGTCGCGGGCCTGCTGGCGTGGACGTCGTCATAAGCAACGCTCGTATCTCACGGAAGCACGCCCCTGGGCGATGATGGCGGTGAACCCTTTCACACGCCTTTCAGCGAGAAAATGGTCCACATGTCTCCTTTGCCCCTTCACACTTCACAGGGTATCCCAGCAGAAGGGGGGGGGAGACCCAAAGGTAAAACCGAATACAGTACCGCTGTGGAACAAAGCGGGCTCCTCAGTAGAAGCAAGGAATCAAGGAAGTTTCCCGAGCCATGGGCTAGCCGTTTGAGGCCGAAGTGACCAGCCAGGGTCCGCTGATGTTTCTGAATGACATGGGCTCGACCTATGGCAGCGTGCCGTGGCAGAGAATACCACTCGCGCCGTTGAGAGGCTGTCTGTGTTGAAGCCTGCTTAGATCTGGGTTTGCTGAGTGTGACGGAGTTTCCTTTTCCTTGCCGGCCGTGTGGAGTGATCCCGTGCTCACGGCAATGTTTGCTGGATAAGTTTTCGATGGGCTTGGATGCGTGGGCCAACTGACAAGGACATAACACGCTGTGCGCGAGGGCTATGGCAAATCTTGCCAGGATTCGAGAGGCTGGGTTTGTAAATCCAGGCCATGAACGGGGAGAAGATCGAGGCAAAATCCCCGGTGGAGTTGACCAACGGTGCAAGGCCTGGCAACAGGTTGGGGTCTTGAAGACCGAGTCGCTCGCACCGGCCGCGGGGACAGGAAGGGTAAGACTCTAAAGTCAGCCACGCCCCAGGGTCCTCCTCTTTCCCTTTTGGCATGTGGGTGTGGCTCAAAATTACACAGGAGGGGCAAACCGCAGGTTTTGGTCCATGTTTCCACTTGCCAGGGCAACCCATATTGGAATTCCGGTGTTTTGAGCCACAGCAACATGTTGCTCCAAGCTCCGCACCGGGCGAGTCCAGAGCTGTGCGCAGGTTCCGCTTCGGCGGGCTGCCGGAGCTCTACGTCTACCGGGAGCCGGCGGAGGAGGAGGAGGAGCCCTCCTCCCCCCCGGTGGAGGCAGAGGCGCGCCGGGCCGGGGGAAGTCCTCTGCCTGCGTCCTGCCTGCGGGGAGGCATTGTGGCATTGTTCGTAGGAGAAAGGCTCAGAAGCGCTGCGTTGAGAGAGAATTGCGCTCTTTCTGGTTGAAATGATTCTCATTTTTTCCCCACTGCCTTGGCTGTGTTGGCGTGGGTCAGAAATAGGAAAACCCCACATGGCTTGCCCTGTTGCCCTGGGGCCAAGGACCAAAGCCTGCGGTCCATGTCCTGGTGCAATTTAGACCTACGCCCGCCTCAGGTTTGAGGCTCGGAGTTCAGCCCCCCGTGTCTTGACATGCGGCAGGTCTCGGGCATGGCCATGGCTGAGGACTTCGCAGACTTGCCGCCCCCTCAGGCGCGGCTTCCAAACTGCGGCATTTGAGAAACGGGGGCCCTCCACAAACTGCCCTTCGCCTCCAAACCCAGAAATCCAACCCACCCAATGTTAGTCAATCCCCGTTTACTAGCAGGGGGGTGGGGGGGCCTCCAAAAGTGGAATGTGATTCCAACTGCGAAAAAAAACCCAGCAAGACCTACTAAACTGGTGTTGATGAATATGGGATCAGTGGGCACCTTTTTCGTTGCCTTGCTGAGTCAAGACCCTCTGGACGCAACGGCAGAGATGTCAATGTACATGCGGTGTTGTACTACATAGCTTGTACCTGTTCACTACATCAAGAGCCCATGCAAAATAGGAGCTGTGCAGACTACAGGTTTGTTTGTGTTAACAACATTACAGCACTTGCACTTGTAGTAAACGATAGTCAGAAATTCACGTGGTAGCGGAGCTGAGATCCTAAATCCAGTATCCAGCAGTAAGTGCTACAAACAGCCGCAACAGCAGTCACATGCCAAACTACTACGACATGTCAAAAGAAGCAGCGTCAGTTTCAGCGCATCAAACTACAGGAACAGACCACCAGCATTTGACGAAGGCGACAAAGGAAGCTACAACAAAGGAAGGTACAACCCAGCGAAGGAAAAGGCTACTCAGGATCTAAAGGCTATGGATCAAACAAAGGCTACGCAGACCAAGAAAATTACAGCAAACCACAAGGAAAAGGAAGCAACAGCTACATGACACGCCACCGACGCGGCAAGCCTGGCCAATTGGGCCCAAGACTGCAGAGTGCCTGTGTGGCACATAGGAGGAGGAGAAGAACTACATCCACCAGACCAAGAGCAAGGACAACAATGAGGAACTACCTCAGGATCTGAACGACACTTGGGACTGGTACTACGAAGGGGAAGAAGGACCCGTAGTCGTGGCTCCCACTGACTTTACCTTTGCTTCCTTTGTAGCGGCCTTTGCCTTTTCCTTTGCCTTTGTAGTTTCTTCCTGTCCTCCAATTGGGGCAGGTCCTCCATTGTAGTTTGTGCCTACAGCTGAAGTAGCTCTTGAGAAAGCAGAGATGGTCTTGTACTAGTCCAGGATGACTGCTCTGATCTCGTTGTAGTTCGTGATCTGTCCAGCTCGCAGTTGGAGATGTTGTTGCAGTGCTCCTTTGGTTTTGTTGAGTAGTATTGCAATCTTTACTCAAGTCTTTCTCGTAGCGGTTGATGTCGAATTCCATTGTAGGAATTGCGCTTCAAACTGTGCTTCATTGAATGTATGTTCCAGTAGTTTGGTAAGGTAGCCAGCGCTTCGTGTTCCTACTGGTAGGCTGAACCTGTTGGCAAGAGTCGTAGTGTTTCACATCCATTTGCGTTGTAGCGATTTCGCCTTTTTATTGTAGTTGCTGGTCCCTGACATAAGTTGATGAGGGTGTAGTGTAACCTCTGGCAAGGTCTACTGCTTTGCTTGCTTGTGTAGGGTCGCGTATGTGTGCTCTCATCTTACATTTGTCGTGTAGCTACTTGTGCCAGTTGTAGCGCCAGGTCGAAGTCTCGGTCTATGAGTCCGAGATGTGCTTGTAGTTTGAACAGCAATTCTTCATACTGGGAGCAGTCACCAGTGAAGAAGGGTGGTGGCAGTTTGTATTTGTGTAGTCTCTGAACATCGTTGTGTTGCTCTGTTCCTGCTCATGGACATGAGGTGAACTACATGGAGGAGAGTTGGAAACAACACCTATTAAGACACACATCCACGCGTCACACCGCACCATTGGACACATCAGACAAGCAAAGTCGTTGCCACACAAGCACAAACCCGAATCACTACTTGGAAAGAAAGCATCACATACAACATCATGGAACGACCGCAGCAATCGTTTTCAACAATTCCAACAAGAGGACACAACACAACTGCGCTTCGACATAGCAGCAGCAACACAGAAGCAAAGACAAAAGCAGATTGATGACAACATCACACACTACATCATGTACTCCAACTTCAAGTCATACCACCGCCTGCTGATCGAGCCAGGAGCATCTACATATGTTTGTTCAAAGGACTATGCGCCGGATCTACCACCACGACCAGTTCCACAACTCTACACGGTTACCGCCAAGAAGATCCCTGTCTACGGCATCAAGTATGTTCCCTACAAGCAAGGACAACTTCAGGATCATGATGCCCTACTACGTTTGTGATGTGAAGTATCCTACCCTCAGTGCATCAAGACTACGTGATAGAGGATATGGACTCGACTTCAATCCACGACGCTGCCATCACACATGGACAACAACAAGCACACCTCATCAGACACTCAGAGCTCTTCTACCTACGAGCAGAAAAGATCAACATCCCTACAGGGCACGACATCTTTCCAATGACGTACAGACAATGGAAAATCCAATTCAACCTACAGAGAAAGCAAAACAACAACAATAACAAATTGTACCACTAACACACACAGATCAAGGACTGCAACAGATCCTTGGTGGAAATACTGACTACTGGAAACTCGATGGTGGCTGCGCCATCAGAGTCCACAAACGACCGCACGAAGCACTTTTCACACCACGCAATACCGGCTGCCCAACACCAGAAGAAGAACTAGATGATTGGCGACTAACAATCTTCAACAGACAAGGGCAAGAGCGAGAACAACTACAAGAGAACCCCAAACAAACTTTGCAAGCAAGAGCTACAAAGAAGATGAGAAGGTGACAACTGGGCTAGAGAAACCAGATTCAGAAGAAAGATCACACCTGTACGCAGAACAACATCAAAGACCACACCAACAAGACAGAGTTCACAACCGCCACAATTAATGGAGACACCACCAACAAAGCCAAAGATGCAACTACGAGCTCCACAAAAGATGTGGAGACCAAAGCAGCGCCTTCTACAGAGCTTGATACCACACAATCACAGGCAACCGCACACAGACCACTTACAGCGCAAGAAGACAACCAAGATTGCTGGGAAAGACAAGGTGAACACTGGATAAGACACAACATATCACTTAGAACTACATTGTTCACTCCTACAGATGGACCAGGACATCCACCAAGCAACACACTCGAACCTCACAATCACCAACAACTTTGGAGACGTTTCGCAACGCCATTTGAATGGAAAGGTGCAACAAGGTTCACCATACAAAAGACCACAGACACATCCAGGGGAACTACGACGAGGAGCAACAACACGAACACCATGAAGCACACAGAGCAAGAGGACTACGCCAACCACAGCAACCAACTCCACACAACTCCACAACAAACAGCAGAACGCAACTTGACACATCTACCATGCAGAAATTGGTGTCCAATTTGCGTGCAAAACAAGGGACGCCAAGACAACTACAAGAAACAACAAGCGCGACAACCCATCATTCAAGTAGATGTCGCCTACATCAAACCACAACAAGACCCAAAGACCATACCAGACTTAACAGCAGTTGATGTTACTACACAACTGTGTATGGCGGTTTCCGGACAAACCATCAATGATGGACTACATGGTCAACAACCTACAAGCAGGCACCCCGGAGCGGAAGAACACAGGGCATAGCACAAAGCGACAACGGACACACACTCAACGCACTTCTAAAAGCTACCAAAGTTGGCCCAATGACTCTTGGCAGCAGAACACAAGCTACAATAGCACTCAGTTCAGCAGAATCTGAGCTCTACGCAATTTGTAATGAGGGACTACACCAGAAACATCCTACTTGAAACAAACGTTTGCAGCAGGCTAAATCTACGCATTCACACAGACTTCGCAGCAGGCAAGAGCATTGCTACATGACAAGGCACAAGCAAACAAGCAAAACACATCGACCTCAAATTCCTCTACGCACGAGACCTCATCAAACACGACATCGTCAGAATCCTCGAGATCAACACACATCACAACAGCGCAGATTTTTTACCAAATACATCAGCAAGGAAGCACTACACCGGCTCATCCAGAGCATTGGGATACGCATGTAGCACTACGAACGACCAGCGCAGCTGTTTCACAACAACACCAACGACTTCAAACATTTTGTATATAGCAGCTACATGTCGCATGACACTTTTTGTATGCAAGCCACAGTAAGTAACTACATGTAAGGTCATTTGCACTTTTGGCGGCATGTTTGGCTCATTGTTTGTTTTGCACGTCTGGCGCTTCCTGTGCGCGACTACAGGCTCACTTTACGCACCCCAGTTTCAATTCGTTTTTAGGACTACAGCCATGGACCACCTTGCGACTACAATCGCTGAGGACGAGGCTGGCGTGTCATCTACACCAGAGACGACTACAACTGTTCAATTACCAGTTCACAACTTCGCCCAACTACTGGCGCGCTACGACCTACGACTACGGACCACCTGAACACCACTGCCACTCAACGCACACCTACAGGACATCTACACATCAACCAGACCATCCTACTACGGGCCATGCCTGCACTACCAACTTCACCACAGTACACTAAATTCTACACCCCCTTGACAATTGAGAACTACTGCTTTCTCACTGCAGGACACTACAATCAACTTGCTCTACAGCACGGCCACTGCAGAACCAGCAACACCCTTCCTACCACCACTCACTACGGGGGAAGCTGCGTGAGCCAGCGTACAACCAACTACAAGTGTTGCACTCAGCAGCAGATGCCCATTTGTGGCATTACTACAGCTTGACCGATCTCCACACCTCCATCAACCACATCAACGACTACGTTCTCGTCACAGTCTCAAATCCCACCGACTACGTTCCTCTAGACTATTTTGTCCGTGACTACATCAGTTACTCAACTTCAAGTCAAGGCCACTACACCTGCCAGGGAGCTTCACTTATCAACTTACTTCAGCGACTTCACCCTTCACTACACCTTGTCCAACGGCTACATTTGGGATTGCCACCTACTTGTACTACGCAACACCCAGCAACTACTGAAACGCTACAGCCTACACCACGACGACAACACGGTACACCGTGCTACACACTGCATTCTCACCAAGACCACAGAATACTACGGTCACTACTTGTTGACCAACGCGCGCGGCTCCTAACTCCTACACGCACTCAGGCAACTACGCATCATGATGCCTGTCACCCAATAAAGGACTACAACAGAACGCGCGAACCCGCAACGGTCCAATCACTGTAGGACCTTCAGTGTTGTGCTACATAGCTTGTACATGACCGCAGGCCTTGAGCTTACCTGTTCGCTACATCAAGAGCCCATGCTAAATAGGAGCTGTGCAGACTACAGGTTTGTTTGTGTGAACAACATTATAGCATTTGTACTTGTAGTACACGACAGTCAGAATTTACCGCGAGAGAGAATATGGGGTCAACATCAGAGGGAGCAGAAGTCATCTTGCCCAGTCGGAGCCCTTGCCGCCGCCCACGCCGGCCCCGGCGCCGGAGATCGATGCGGAGGCGGCGGCGGCGGCCTGCGCGGCGCAGCAGGCGCAGGCGGCGGAGGAGGACGAAGCGCGGGTTCGGCGCATCCAGCAGAAGCGGCAGGAGCCTGTTGGTTTCGGATGGTTGACTTAGGGTTGGTTTAGGGTTGGCTGACTTAGGGTTGGTTTAGGGTTGGCTTGGGGTTGTTTGGTTTAGGGTTGATTTAGGGTTGGTTTTGGATGGGAAGACTGGGAGCGGGAGCTTGGGGGAGCCAGAGGGGAGGGGAAGAAGGAAACCGAGTCAGGACTGGCCCCATGACTTTTCGTTGTCAAAGTCACCCCTGTTCAGTGGTAGGGTAAAGGAAAGAACCCCCATTTCTGATTTTGATAACCCCTAGAAACGGTCAGAATAATAACCCCAGCAAGAGCTGTTTGGATGGGAAGACTGGGGGGGGGAGGAGCTTGGGGGAGCTTGGGGTTGGGTGGAGATTGGAGGCCCAAACCGAATCAAAGTCAACTTTAAACCCTCCCAACAGCATCCTGGATATCAGCCCTTTGTCGAGCCCAAATGAACCCCAAAACCCAAGACTTGCCCTCATTACAACATCAGCAGGCGGAGCTTGGGGGAGCTTCGGTTGGGTGGAGAGGGTCGTGAGGACCTGGTGCAAGCTCGGGCAGATGCATTGAAGTTCCCTCCCTGAAGTCAAGGATCTTCTCTAAATCGGATACTCCCTTTTCAAGGGCTTGCGAAAGATCTCTCTAAAATGGGACGCCACCGTTTGAACCAGAGGCGAATAGATCCTGAGCCTTGACGATGTGGGGAGATCGAACCAACCATGAGAATGGTTCTCGGCCACCATTCAGCAAATGTGTCGGCTTTGCTACGTCGCACAAACTTACGAGAGATATGACGACATGAAGCATACTCCGGGTCCACACAGCCATCAGCATATTTCATTTGCACCGAATTGCGGGTGTTCCATGCTCCTGACGCGTGGGACTTCCTGTGAATCGTTCCGCATGGGTTTTCGGCGGGGGCTTTTGGGCGGTTTTGCCAGGAGCGGCGGGCTGCGGAGGCGGCTGAAAAGGTGCAGATGGCCGCCAAAAAGGAGGAGGAGCGGAAGAAGAAGGAGGAGGAGCGGAAGAAGAAGCAGGACGGGAGCTGAAGACGACGCTCAAGAGCAGCTCAGATTCAAAGGTAAAACGAACGAGTATTTTGGTAACATCCTGCATGATTCTGTGGTGTGCGTGTTCGCAGCCGGCTGCCTGTTTTTTTCCGACCCGCTATGTGGCTCGAAGAGAGGTGTCCGTCGCTTTGAGTTTGGGAAGGGCCCGTCACGCCATTGAGGGCATCACTTGTTTCAGCAAGACTGTGTTTGGATTGCAAGCCGTAGCTTCTCGTTCTCGAGCCGACATGGAAGCCCCTGCGGAGACGTATTTCGCGGACGACTGTGAGTGCATCCGAACCGTGGCCGTGAAGAAGCACGAAGCCACCGACGAGTCCCAGCTGAACCTGAAGGTCAATGACATTATCATCGTGTTGGAGAAGGACGAGACTGGGTGGTGGGGCGGCCACAAGGAGAATGACGACAAGACGGGCTGGTTTCCGGGCAGTTGCGTACGCAGCATCCCCCAAGCCAAGCGCCAAAGCGAGCAGAAGAAGCCGGAGAGCAATTGCAAGGATTCCGTGAAAGATGGCCTGAAGGACGGGGCATGTACCAGTGTTGCTTGACCAAGTTGTTGAGCTTGAGTTGTCTAACAGAATCTTCGCCCAGGACTCAAGCATTTTGGAGACCACCACTCCCAGCCCCATGCGCCACAGCTACTCCGTGGCATCCCCACAGCGCGGCAGCCGCGGGCTTGGCACCGGGTTCAGCATCCCAGAGACGCCGGGCAACGGCGTCAACGCTGGCAACGGCAGCAATGGCGGCAATGGCCGGCACCTCCTCACTGAGAACGAGCAGCTGAAGAAGGAGAAGAGCAGCTTGGAAGAAGAACTGCAGAAAGAGCAGAGGACGGGAAAGACAGTCGTGTTGGGAAGGGCGACGAGGTTTGCCTTCTGTGACCTGACATGTATCTTGGACACAGCCCCCCACTCCCAGCCGGTGTAAATCAGGTTCAGCCAATGGCCGCACATTCTGCTGGCACTTTGCACATCAATCCAGAGGTCCGTCGGAGTTGCCCTCAGGCGCAGCGATGCAGAGAGGAAGAGCTCCTCTCAGCTGAGGGCTTCGATGGAGAAGTTGGAGGCCCAAGCCCGAGAGAAGGAAGCCAGGCTGAAGGCTGAGAAGGAGCAGATCAGCGAGCTGAGGGCGCAGAACGAGCAGCTGCAGAAGGCTCTTCAGGACAGGTGTGAGGCCCTGTGAGGCGCGAGGCGTTTCAAGCATCATGTTTTTTGTTTGGTCCCCCCGACCTTGGAGGATGTGAAGGCAAAGAAGGAGGCGCTGGACAAGAAGCTTAAGGCTGAGCAGGAGCAGAAGAGCGAGCTGCTGGAGGAGAACCTGCGACTCCAGCAACAGCTGAACTCCAAGGTCACGAGCCCAGCGACTGCCCTGGCTCCGGCAGGTTCCGCAGCTGCCACTGCTCTGCCCCCAGCCCCCCCCAGCACCGCCCCGGTCCCGGTCGCCTCAGCCGCGGCGCATCTCGCGCCCCGCCCGCCTTCCCTGCCGCCGTCTCTGGCGTCGGCTGAGGAGGCGCCCCCGAGCGGCTGCGTGCGGCAAATCCGGGAGGCCTTCGAGCGCGCGGCCACGCCCAAGCGCGAGCGCCCCGAGCGCTTCGTGCGGGACTTCGGGCTGTCGCCAATTCGCCGTAGGGAGGGCGACACGCCCGCGCGCTGAGTGACGCCGGCTTCGGGCTTCGGGCTTGGGGCTTGGCGGCTTGGGGCTTTGGGCTTGCCGCTCAGTTGTTGTTTGGTGCACCTTTGCCCGGCACCACCTTTGAAGTGGTGAGATAATTCAAAATTCATTGCAGCCTGGGCCTTTGGCACTGCTCACGCGCAGGTGCCAGCCTGCTTCCAACGGTCGTGGCCCCTGACAAGAATCCCCTGTAGCGCGCGCCGACAAAAGATCAACTTGCCGTGTCTCTAGCTGCCAAGCTGGATTTTTCCTGGTTGGCGGCTTGTGTGTGTCACATGAGTCAGAGAACGTTAGGTTGCAACACCTGAGCCAGAATCAAATCACGGGTGGAGGAAAGTTAGTAAGGGCCAGTTCCAGCCAGTAACGGGTGCGGATATCCGCCTTGTCATTTCCTTACATGGGTAGACCATGTTCATGCCGATCGGTTTTGATTGTGACTCCGGAGGAGCGAAATCAGAAGAAGCGAGCCCTGAAAGAGGCGAAGGCCGCCCAGAAGGCGGCGCGCGCCAAGCCGGCCAAGGAGGGAGGCGGCTCCGGATGTGCAAGCGCCACAGGGATCCGTTGCAACATGAGAATCAACAGAGCCAAGGAAAACGGCGCATTGTAAGAGGGCTAAACCGAACTCTTGGATCGCCTACGATACGGTAGAAAACCGAACTCTTGGAGTGTCAGCGGCGAGTGGAACTCGTTGCTTCACTTGGTCGCGGGGGCCAAGACGGAGAAACCATGCTGCCCCCCGGGCCCGACTCCTCCTCCGCTTGGACAGGCGCTGACGCGCCTGATCCGGAGCTTGCGGCGGGCGATGCCACGCCCCCGGATGCCCCGCTGCCGGATGCTGGCAGCGCCTCGCCGCCGGAGGAGGAGTGGAGCCAGGGAGAGTAACTGCACCCTCAAAGTACCCTAAAAAATGGAATTCCCCCCCCCCCCCCCATATTTTTGGGTGGTTCCCCTTTTTCTGGGGCCAAACACCCATTTGTCTGGGTCGTTGGCGGGTCAAGGCATTTTCGGTGGCCCAGTGCTTCTCCTTTGCCTGTCCCCGAGTGAGAGGGCTGTCGGCTTGAGGAGCCCACGGGCCTCGAGGAGCTGTTGGGAGCTTCAGGGTCCAAGCATGGCCCCAGTGGCCTCGGCCCGGTGAGACCTTGGGATCCAGTGCCGAGTCGCGTCGTTTGGAGCAGCATTCTTTGAATCGCAGGGTTGGTGGCGGGCGACTCGCGACAGCTTTCCCGGAGACTTGGGGCCCTGGCGGCCCCCTGACGGCCGCGCTCAGGAGATGGAGGCCAAGGCTGCGGTGGACTTCTTCTAGGCGTAGAGGCGGTGCCGTGCCGCGGAAAAGGATCGCGCAAGAGAGTGGGCGTAGACCGCCGGCCATGGGCTCAGGCTGAGTTTGTAGGTGATGAGGCATTGTGCGCAGGAATCTCGCTCTGGGGCTGGTTTGATCTGCTGAAGGCCAAGGGACTTGTCTCCGAGCTGCGGGGGATTGCTGCACGGTTCAGTTGGCCCAAGGGCCATCCCCTAAAACGTGCCTCCGATCGGGAGCTCAGAACCATGGGCGCCGTGGTCTTAGTTCCAGTCGTCCTGCGTGGCCTCCAAGTCCAAGGGAGCTTTGCCTTCCCACGTTTGCAACCCTCGGGTTCCAAGGCAACCCGCAAGATCCCCCAACCTCAGGTAGCCTACTGAGTGCGTGCACTTTGCTTAGTTGCTAGAACTGAGCCGCTTTTTTTGCGCCAACTCGTGGGTTTTCCGCGTGTAACCGCCAAAAGTTAAAAAAAACAAATCAGCAGGGGCGCAGGGAAGCAACCAAGTAATGGGTGCGGAGTGCGGTTTCTACGCAGCTGGAGCCCAGGACAAGGACCCGAAGAAGTCCCCAAAGATGGAGGTGCGGCCAATGCGTTTCGGCCGATGCCGCCAATGTTGACCCCATACTAGTCAACCCCAGTTTGTTTTTGCTTTTCAGGGGGGGAGGTGTCCCCATGAAGTCCGAAACGGCCGAATTGCTGGATTGCAAAAGGGGTAAATCCAGATTTGTTGCGCTTTTTCCATGCCTGGAGTGGCTCTGATTTGAAGCTGAGAACGCCAGCTGTTGGGGAATATGGCAGGCCAAGGAGGATCCGCCGCCAGCATTCTCCTTAGAATGTTGTGCCGGGGTGACACGCCTGGGCAAGACGTGGAGGTTGATCAAAAGGTCCTTTACATGGGGTGGCCATTAGGGAAACCACCAAAAGGGATGACTATCAGCAAATAAGCGGGGAAAGGTACCCATGGTGGGGGCGGCTCTTTGCGACCCGCAGTTTGCGGAACTGCGACTGAGGAGGAAGCCGAAACACTGTCACCAAAGGGCCAGGCGGGCCTTTGCGAGTTTGACGCAGCTCTTGTGGGCAAGGCTGCCATTGTCAGAGGGTAGAAATAGAATGTCCATGTTAGTTTGAACCTAACTTACTATAGTCTTATATAGAGGCGTTGCTTGCGTGCGCGCGGGAAGGGGCCTACAGACCACTGCGATGTCCTTTTCCGTAGCCACAATGCCCATAGCCCTGGATGCCTGGCCAGGCCGGCTGGGAAGCAAAATCAGAGAAGAACATGATGCAGGCTGGGTGCAGTTCCTGCCGGCCGCATGAGCCGCAACAAAGCGAAGCTTGCGGCTTGAGCCCTGAGAGGTCGACATGGCCACAATTGCTTTTTCCAGTTGCCAGGCCAAGCAATCAAGCTACCCTTGGTGGTTCCGGTTCCATATCCGGGCTTTCACGAAAGCCAACGGCTCTAGCAGGTTTTCGCCAATCTTTCGCCCTAGCCGCTTTTCCGAAATGGTTAGGCTCTTGTCCCCAGAAGCGGGCAGCCCCTACTCGCGAATGTGAAAGGGGTCAGATCCTCATCCCTGTAGTTCAATCCCACGTTTACCACTTTGGTCGCAGCGCAATAGGTCCCGATCTTCATTGGGGTTGGTCACCTGGCCGCTGGCCGGGCAATAAGCTTTGGATCTGAGCAGTCTCACGTCCTGCGGCCCATCCCCGAGCGAGGCCCGGAACCTGATACGCGACATGCTCACCACCGTGCGGAACAACGAGGTCCAGGAGGTGAGAAGATGTGGGTGTTTTTTTCTCCCCCTCCTCAACGTTGGCGCTTTTTTCTTCAGTTTCAGTAAGGGGCTGCAAAACCACGGGCTTTTTTGCTAGGCAACAACTGGCTCAACATCCTTTGTTTATATATATATATATACACATATATATATATATGAAATATCAATGTTAAATGTGAGCCGTTTTGTTTTCTATGAAATGAGCTCAGGGCAAACTTCGACCCTCTCCCGGAGCACCCAGATTGGGCCAGTGGTGCCACACTACAAGCAAACTCACCTTAGCAGCGGCGCACCTTCTCTCGCCTTGTTTCTGCGTTTTGTCGTTTTTCAAGCTCCCAGCAAGGCATGGTCACCTGGTATGTTTCGTGGATTGGTTTGTGGTTTGGA